CTTTTATTTTTTAGTCAGGACATTTCAGGAATTTTGCCCCATATACATGCTAATGTTGCTTTTACATTTACAATTAATAAAATACGTTGAATCCACGTACTGTGTATCAGATCGAGTATAGAACCAATCGCTGGTGCATTAACCAGCATTCGATCTTCAATGTCGTTGTCGTCGTCGTCAACAACGGAATCGTCATTCGTACATTCGTCTAATACAATCGACAATTTATCGGGATTTCTTTTACTCTGAGACTCCATTGTTTTTTTTTTCTTTTCATGTTTAATCGACAAAATAATTACACTGACGCGCCTAGAATACCTCGCCTTTTTTATACGTCTCCCCCCACAATCGAGAGGACCTATCTCTCTCTTTTGTTTTAAGTGTGCAACACGAGGTCACGACGTACTTTTTTGTCAAAACAAAAAGGAATATTGATTGCGTTATTCGGAGAAATGACGAATCTCATCGATTGTCTCCGACGCGGCGTAACGACTACGAATAGATCGCGCGCACTCGCGCGAAACGAGAAAAACGGTGACAATAGTCTCCAACGCGCAAGCGCGACCTTGAATAAAGACATTCATATTAAATAAACAAATGCATTGTGTAATATTAAATAAAATGATTTCATTCAACTTAATAATTAGTACGTATTGGGCAACGTGACCTCGATGTCAGTGATCCACAATCGGTGTAGCGCGACTCACGTGTAATAAGAAATAATGAAGAGAAGAACTCATCGATTGCATCATTCACAAAAATGACGAATCTAATCGTATACAACATGCATTTAACAGGAAATAATGAAGAGGAAAGATAGTACGTCGATTGCGTCATTCAGAGAAATGACAAATCTAATCGGAGACGACATGCATTGCGTAATACGACGATTATCACCAGCGCACGACCACGAGACTACGAAGCGCTCGAGCGCGACCTGGAATAGATAAACGTGAATTCGTCTAAAAATCGGTGTAGTATCGCGATTAAGTCATATGCATTGTATAATACGACGATTTATCTCCGACGCGGCGTAGCGCGACCCTGAGGCTACAAATAGATCGCGCACACTCGTGCGTAGTTTTTATTTTTCGATAAATAAATTAGTGCGTATACGTATATGTATATACGATACGCGCGTGTTTCTCGTGTTATTTAATTGTAGTACTCTCCCTCATGTAGTAATGACAATCGAATAACTAAGAAAACCTTTTCACATTCAATCATACTGAATTACACGAAAACAAAATATAAAAAAAATTAAAAAAACACCGATTACGCAATGTTACGCAACATTCACGCGACAACGTTGACGCAAATGTCACGCACCGGTCACGTGCAACAGGAGATAACGTATAACAGGAAATAATGAAAAGGAAGAAAGCACGTCGATTGCGTCATTCGAAGAAATGACGAATCTCAACGGAGAGTGGAGACGACACCCTGACGCGCGCATGCACGCGACCGACCATCGCGCCGCTCGCGAGAGAATCTCGGTGCGCACGCGCGACCGGCGCGGCCGCGAAAAGCGCGGGAACGACATAACTTGTAAGAGCGCGCGCTCGCGGAGAGCGAGACATAAGCGGGAAGCACAGACTTTTGCATAACGCATAAACCATATACATAAAGAATTTGATTGGTCCATTGACTCATGCATAAGAAAATGGGCCAATGAAATTCCTTATGCACATGCTTTATGCGTTATGCAAAAGTCTGTGCTCCCCGCTTTAACCTCGCTTCGCTCGCCGCAGCGAGCGCGCTTATGCTAATCCCGCACGCACGTGGCTACCGCGCGCGCCGCCCACGTCGTCGAGCGTCGCGGCGTCCCCACGTGGCAATGGGTCCGAACGTCGCGCCGTCGTCATGGAGACGGGCCGGCATCTCCCACCAGCGACGCGTGACCTTCGGTAACCAGCGATTCGATTTCTAACCCACACGCACACAAGTACACTCGCACGCACACAAACAAAAGCGAGCCACGCGATTGGCTGTACGACCCCTGGACAGTTTTAACTCACGTCTGTGGAATTCAAACATACATATTTCAACTACTCAACTAATAAACATTAATTTGACCTAACTTATATAACACTTTTATAAAATGTGGTTTAAATCAAAAACAAAATTGTCAAATCAAAAAGCATAAAAACCACGCACAAGATCTATTTTGTGAGGACTTATTCAAGTCCTTATTTTATTATTAAAATATAAGTTTAAACGTTTCGGTCATAAAAATTTGACCATCTTCAGTATATAGTTAAGTTAATGTAACATTAAATCATACGCATATTATAATACAATATTCGCTTACATCTATTCGCCATATTACAAAATTTCTTCTTGGTAAAATAATCTCAACATAAAACCTCGTTCTTGTCTCAATGTAAATTCTCCTTCCAATTATTGCGAATTATTATTTTGAAGAAACATCGTTGGTAGACTATATAAATCAAACGATTAAATTAAGATAATACTATTACAAAATACTAAATTTATTTGTTGATGAATATAATGCAAAGTTACCTATGTTTCGTTAAAAAATTCGTTAAATCTTGAGTGAAAAGTCAGAGAAAAATCGTACATTACACCAGTAAAGTCAGATATGTTATAACGATGTTCTTATATGTATATGAACTTGAAAACAATAAAATAAACAATAAAAATATTAACTACGATAGAGGATTTACATTCGATTCTTGGTGTGTGTTTGTTATGATAGAATAATACATTTGTGGCAATTTTTCAGTGTCACTTTGTAAATTTAGACTGTTAGTTTGATTCTTGATATGAATCATTTCCGAAATTGATCTTTTGAAATATATAGGTTCATTATCTAAAATTGCAGTATTATCCCAATCAATGTCATGATTACAATTTACTTGATGTTTGCTTACAACAGAGGTATTATTAATTCTTTTCCAACCATCCCTATGTTCTTTTAATCGCGTTTTTAGTCGTCTTTTCGTTTGTCCGACATAAGTCATAACATGGCCGGAGACGCTACCGCGTCTCCTGATCACAATCCTTGCAATTGATCTTATATACAACATTAGTGTTATCGAACTTATCTAGTTTATCTTTTCCTGTTTTAATTATACTACTAAGATTATTAATCGGTTTGTAGGCAATATCCGTATTCGGAATATTAATGATGTTTTTAAACTTTTCTGAAACATTTTTGTGATACGGCACTACCAAATAATTATTTTTTCTTTTTATTCCATTATTCATAATACTATTTCTATTGATATTATAATATTTTAAACTATTAATTCTATCATTAATACAAGAAAACAAAAATTTTAAAGGATATCCATTACCGATTAATATTCTGATTAATTCTGTGATGTTATTAGAATGAAATTTCGGATGCGACAATAATATTATACGATCAATCAAGGAAATTATTACGCCTTTTTTATGACACATTGGATGATTCGAAAAGAAATTAAGATATCTTCCAGAGTTCGTAGGTTTTTTGTACACATCAAAAATGATTCTGTCGTTTTCTACACCTACTTTAACATCTAAAAAATTCATCCAACCATCAATACCACACTCCATAGTAAAATTGATTCTTTCGTTATACGAGTTAAAAGTATCAAAAACTTTTTTAATATCCAATTTAGGGATTGCTATTAATATATCGTCTACATATCGTTGGTATATTGGAATGTCAACATTTATAGTTGAAAGAATCTTTGTTTCCAAATCCTCCATTACGATGCCGGCTAAAATCGGAGACATAGGTAACTTTGCATTATATTCATCAACAAATAAATTTAGTATTTTGTAATAGTATTATCTTAATTTAATCGTTTGATTTATATAGTCTACCAACGATGTTTCTTCAAAATAATAATTCGCAATAATTGGAAGGAGAATTTACATTGAGACAAGAACGAGGTTTTATGTTGAGATTATTTTACCAAGAAGAAATTTTGTAATATGGCGAATAGATGTAAGCGAATATTGTATTATAATATGCGTATGATTTAATGTTACATTAACTTAACTATATACTGAAGATGGTCAAATTTTTATGACCGAAACGTTTAAACTTATATTTTAATAATAAAATAAGGACTTGAATAAGTCCTCACAAAATAGATCTTGTGCGTGGTTTTTATGCTTTTTGATTTGACAATTTTGTTTTTGACCTAACTTGTTTGTGGTCTGTTGATTTGTAATAAAGGTCTTCATTATATCGTTGTACATCGTCATATACAGACATATTGACGATGAAATTTGATCAATGCGATTTGTGTAATATAATTGATTTTATGTCTGTTGTCGACCAACTGAGGTAAGCTTATTGAGTATTTAATTTATACCGTTTTATCAAATTTTCATTATATGTATGTAATATTTTGACATTGGAATAAATACATATTCACTTTCATTGCATTATCTTTTAATTATAAAATATATTTTTCGTCATATTTCTTTTTTTATTATTTTTATCTATTACTGACATTGTTTTTTTACTATTTTATTTAGAAATGTGGAGTCACAATTTACACTATTTGATGTCTTGCTTTGTTTATGGACTCTCGACATTTTGCGCCGATATAATTATGTCTTCAATAGCGAGTGAGATTGAAAATACCCATATCACAGAATTTTTATACATGTTTTTTCGTATTTTATTCGTTTTAATTTTTATAATATCATTGTACATTGTTAACGATAGTTGGTTCTTAACATTGAGAATGACCTAATTAAGGTCGTAACGTTTGTTTTTAAATTTTATTAAATTTTATATTTATTTTTAATTAATGACTGTTTATTACTAAGACCTTTATATTTTAATTAATATTTGGCTCGTAGCCCTATTTTATATTAATTATTTTTTAAAATGTATTTTAATATCACAAAATAAATCTCAATATCAGGTACACTATCGACACGTGGACGTATACGAGAGAGTCTCTGTATCTATATATTTTTAAAGAGTAACTTTTCTTCTTCTCTTTTGGCCGGGTCGGGCTTGCGCAGTGATGCTGGTATGTGATTACGCGACATGCCGATTAATGTTCTAGGTGAGAGATCGAAATAACAGCTTTTTACATTGCAAAAATGAATCACAATAGATGAGCATTAATTTCAAAAGAATTCTTATGTGCTCTACAATCTTGAATCAAATATAGTGTTCTAGGTGAGAGATCAAAATAACAGTTTTTTATATTTCAAAGATGAATCACAAAAGATCAGTATTAATTTTAATAGAATTCTTATACCAAATTGTCTATTTTAACATAATACATTTTATTACTGAAAGATAATGAAATGAAAATTAATATATATATATGAAAAATCTTGGCATACATAATGAGGTATTCAAGTACATGTTCCAGTTAGACTTATTGTTAGTCAAATCAGACGTAAGTTCGGAACTGTTGGGTATTACTGAAGAAGAAGAGAAGGGAACTGTTGCCTTTTTATCTTATTATTTTCTTAAATCTAATGACACGTATCATTTGTACGCCAAGTTAAATTCTACACTTCTTTCTCCCCGACTTGACCCACTACTCATCATTTTCACTCTCCTTCATATATGTATAATGGCCTGGTTTACATCGTGCACTTGATACGCGTATCAGGTACAATATTCGTATCAAATTGGTACTATAAACATTTAGTACGCACGATGTAAACGCTGTCGGATTATTTTGGTACGAGCGTATCAAGCAAGAGTATCGTACTAAACTGATACGCGTATCAAATGATACAAATGGCGATGTAAACGCATGAAACACATTTAATACGCGTACCAATTCTTTCACGACGTAAACCAGGCCGATATATTTTTAAATCATTCTTTAAAACATTTTTATATATACTTTTTAATACATCTGTACTTCAACATAGAATATTATCACGAAAGTAACTGATATTAAAATATCTATATAAATATACAATTTATACTAACTTCGATACATTGCACATCCTCCCTCCTCCCTTCCCCACTACTCATCTTTTTCATTTTATTTCACTATCTTGTCATATAATATGGATTTTTCCCATAATATATATCGTTTAATTAACTAATCTTTAAAAATTCTATCTCTAAAGATCTAAGAGGTACCATTCCTACACTTACTTAATTCTAATGACATGTATCATTTGTATGTATATATAAACTTACCTTTTTAAAAAAAAAGGTAGAAAAATGCGCTAAGAGTGGGTGCTGCTGGTCAAAAAACCATTTGGGCCAGTTTCACCAACGTCAATTACTTAATCGACTGTAAAACTGACCAATCACATTTGCTGTTTAGTAGAACCATATCTAAAAACCTACGTGATATTGTCCTTATTTACATAATTCTAATGACATGTATCATTTGTATAAAAGATTTGACATCAATAGTAGAGGCGCCAAGTTAAATTCTAATCTTTAAAAACCTACGTGGTATTATCCTTATTATTATTTATTTAAATCAATGACATGTATCGTTTGTATAAAAGATTTGATATCAATAGTCGGCGCCAAGTTATTCTACCTTATTACTTACTTAATTTTAATGATATTTATTATGGGAAAAAGTCCCGGAACGGTCAAATATTTCAAAAACCATTGGTATTTAAAAAAAACGCTGAAACACGTGAAACGATTTTTCAAAAAATCTATCTTTTGAGGGGGGTTACGACCCCCCACCCCTAAGGGGGCACGTGGGGCACGAGGGGGGTCGAAAATCTGAAATGGCAACATAGGTCGACTGGGGGTTCATTGGAAAGGTCTTTTCGAGACGAATCCAAAACACTACGCATAGAGGGCGCTGCGTTCACTTTTGACGGGAAAATTCAATTTTGTCAATTAGAAAATTTTGAACATTTTGAAAATTTCAGGGATGGCAATAGTAACTTAGCGAGGTTTTAACTGCAATTTCAAACATCCTGCAATATGTATGATCAGTCTTTTCTAACAATACCGTCGGCATTAGCATTACCCGAGATGTACCGCGTGGAGGTTGCACGGTCGGGTTTACATCTCTTCGGGGTGCTTTGTTCAGGTGGTTCCACTTGCCGTCACCTGTTTGTGTGTGTGTGCGTGCGTGCGTGCGTGCGTGCGTGTGTGTGTGTGTTTAATGTATTAAGATCCTATTTCAAAATCTACTGTCCATCTTACTGTTTTACGATTTCAGAGAAGTGGTTCAGTTATTGACGAACGAAGATCGGGTAGACCAAAAACAGCTACTAACGATGACGTGTCTATGCAGGTTCTCCAAAATATTATTGAAAACCTGCACAATCCTCCTTCGAGAATAGCTCAGGAATATGATATCGATCGAAAATCCGTTACAAAAGTTTTAAAGTCACACGGTTACCACCCGTTTAAAATACGACTCGTCCAAGAACTCTCTGAAGATGACTATGACAGAAGAGTAGAGTTTTGCGATGAAATGATGAGGAAATATGACGATAACAATCAATTCTTCAGTTGGATTTGTTTTTCTGACGAAGCTACTTTTGAACTGAGCGGATCTGTCAATCGTCAGAACATGCGATATTGGGCGGATGTTAATCCTTATTGGATGAGAGATTCGCATACTCAACACCCACAAAAACTGAATGTTTGGGCAGGAATTATTGGACAAAATATTGTTGGGCCGTTTTTTATCGCAGGGAACATAAATGCTGAGAATTATCTTCATCTATTACGAACGCAAGTGGTCCCACGTATCCAAGAAATTCTTGGACCTGCTTTTGAACAAGTTTGGTTTCAACAAGATGGAGCCCCAGCTCACTTCGCGGTAGTTACTCGAGATTACCTTAATGAAGTGTTTCCTAATAAATGGATTGGTAGAAGAGGATCGATTGAATGGCCGCCCAGATCACCGGACTTATCACCGCTGGACTACTTTTATTGGGGATACTTGAAGAGTAAAGTGTTTGAGACAAAACCTGCCGATATTAATGAATTGCAAGCAAGGATAATAAATGTTTCTAATTCAATCACACCAGAAATGTTGCGAAATGTTCAGGAAAGTATTTACATACGTATGGGTCACTGCCAAGCAGTGCACGGGCAACAGTTTGAACACTTAATACATTAAGTCCTGAATGTCTTCAATTCTGAACTCATTTTTATCCAGTTTCTTTTCATATTATTTATGCCAAAAAAAAATCGGACCTATGATACTCGACGTAAAATTTCATGTTCTTTCAGAATATGACCTCAGAATTTGCCTAACACCAATGCTTAAAAAGTTGTATACAATTTATTGCAAAAAAATGTCATTTTTTTGACTAAATAAAATTTTAGATCTAAAATTTCTATATGATACCGGCAATATACACATCCTTTACCACATAGAAAAGCGTTTTCGAGTCCTAAATTTTAAAATATGTATGGTCCGAAAAAAAAAATTTAACCTGGCGGTCCTCAAAATGGCGTCCGAAACAAATTTTGTTTTGAAAATGTTTAGGGCGCTCTAACTCGAAAACTATGAACTTTTTCGAAAAAATGAGAAGTATGAAAAGTTATCAGAATTCATCGAGGAATACATTAGAATTTTTTCTAATTTGTCGGTGACATTTTTGAAAATATTTTTATTCCAATTTTTTGAAAATTTTCTAGAGTTTACGAAAAATTCTGAAAAAATTCTGAAACATTTCTTGACGCATTCTAAGTATCTTTTGTGCTTTATCATTTTCTCCAGAAGTCGATAGTTTTCGAGGAAGAAAATGCTATTGATATCAAATCTTTTATACAAATGATAGATATCATTGATTTAAGTAAATAATAAGGATAATACCACGTAGGTTTTTAAAGATTAGAATTTAACTTGGCGCCGACTATTGATATCAAATCTTTTATACAAATGATACATGTCATTAGAATTATGTAAATAAGGACAATATCACGTAGGTTTTTAGAGATGGTTCTATTAAACAGCAAATGTGATTGGTCAGTTTCACAGTCGATTAAGTAATTGACGTTGGTAAAACTGGCCCAAATGGTTTTTTGATCAGCAGCACCCACTCTTAGCGCTTTTTTCTACCTCTTTTTTTTAAATGATAAGTTTATATATACGTACAAATGGTACATGTCATTAGAATTAAGTAAGTGTAGGAATGGTACCTCTTAGATCTTTAGAGATATAATTTTTAAAGACTAGTTAATTAAACGATATATTTTATGGGAAAAATAAATATTATATGACAAAATAGTGAAATAAAATGAAAATGATGAGTAGTGGGGAAGGGAAGACGGAGGATGGGCATGTATCGAAGTTAGTATAAATTGTATATTTATATAGATATTTTAATATCAGTTACTTTCGTGATAATATATAATATTATGTTAAAGTATAGATGTATCAAAAATATATATAAAGAATGATTTAAAGAATGATTTAAAAATATATTATACATATATGGAGGAGAGTGAAAATGATGAGTAGTGGGGCGAGTCGGGGAGAAAGAAGGGTAGAATTTAACTTGGCGTACAAATGATACGTGTCATTAGATTTAAGAAAATAATAAGATAAAAGAAGCAACAGTTCCCTTCTCTTCTTCTTCAGTAATACTCAACAGTTCCGAACTTACGTCTGATTTGACTAACAATAAGTCTAACTAGAACATGTACTTGAATACCTCATTATGTATGCCAAGATTTTACATATATATATATATATATATATATATATATTAAATTATCTTTCAGTAACAAAATGTATTATGTTAAAATAGACAATTTGGTATAAGAATTCTAATAAAATTAATACTGATCTTTTGTGATTCATCTTTGAAATATAAAAAACTGTTATTTTGATCTCTCACCTAGAACACTATATTTGATTCAAGATTGTGGAGCACATAAGATGGGATGTACTCAATATCTGGTTACAGAGATGCTAATATGTAATGAATTGTCGAACAATAGTTACTGTTAGATGTATCTTTTTATATATCATATTGTTATCAGTTGTTATATTATTTTTACATGAATATTGCTAAAAATTGTTTAGTGTGTTCGCTTTGCTGTTCGCGAATGAGTTACAGGTTATTTTATATATTCGTGTAAAGCAGCAATAATAAAATTAAATTTTTTATTGTCACAAATACATTTATCTTAATATATGATCTTTTCTTGTTACTTTAGTAACATCTATACAAATATATTGTTTATTTGTTGTATTTTGTATTATCTAAAATAAATTAATGTACTTTGAGGCATAATGGCGCACTAATACATAGGACACAATGGTGCACACTTAGTGTTTTGGACGATACCGAGACTAGTCTCGAGTATCGTGCCGAGACCGAGACGAGATTATCATTGTCGAGACCAGAACGATACCGAGACGAGATGAAAATTTCGAGATCATAATCGAGACCGAGACGAGATTATCATTGTCGAGACCAGAACGATACCGAGACGAGATGAAAATTTCGAGATCATAATCGAGACCGAGACGAGATTATCATTGTCGAGACCAGAACGATACCGAGACGAGATGAAAATTTCGAGATCATAATCGAGACCGAGACGAGATTATCATTGTCGAGACCAGAACGATACCGAGACGAGATGAAAATTTCGAGATCATAATCGAGACCGAGACGAGATTATCATTGTCGAGACCAGAACGATACCGAGACGAGATGAAAATTTCGAGATCATAATCGAGACCGAGACGAGATTATCATTGTCGAGACCAGAACGATACCGAGACGAGATGAAAATTTCGAGATCATAATCGAGACCGAGACGAGATTATCATTGTCGAGACCAGAACGATACCGAGACGAGATGAAAATTTCGAGATCATAATCGAGACCGAGACGAGATTATCATTGTCGAGACCAGAACGATACCGAGACGAGATGAAAATTTCGAGATCATAATCGAGACCGAGACGAGATTATCATTGTCGAGACCAGAACGATACCGAGACGAGATGAAAATTTCGAGATCATAATCGAGACCGAGACGAGATTATCATTGTCGAGACCAGAACGATACCGAGACGAGATGAAAATTTCGAGATCATAATCGAGACCGAGACGAGATTATCATTGTCGAGACCAGAACGATACCGAGACGAGATGAAAATTTCGAGATCATAATCGAGACCGAGACGAGATTATCATTGTCGAGACCAGAACGATACCGAGACGAGATGAAAATTTCGAGATCATAATCGAGACCGAGACGAGATTATCATTGTCGAGACCAGAACGATACCGAGACGAGATGAAAATTTCGAGATCATAATCGAGACCGAGACGAGATTATCATTGTCGAGACCAGAACGATACCGAGACGAGATGAAAATTTCGAGATCATAATCGAGACCGAGACGAGATTATCATTGTCGAGACCAGAACGATACCGAGACGAGATGAAAATTTCGAGATCATAATCGAGACCGAGACGAGATTTGAGCTAGTCTCGCCTCGTCTCGGCGAGACCGAATCACTCACACTTGCACAGTGGCTGCCGCCGCGCCGTGGCGCTATCCGCCGTGACACATGATTGAGGTTAGGCGCCAGCCTTTACGTGTTTGCATATTTTTAACTATCAAGAATTTTGTACGGATTACGAAGTGCACACGAACAGAAGTGTTATCTAGTAACATTGTACTTAATAATGTGTTCTAAGTCACTTTTAAGCAATATTCGATATTAATTGTTTAAAAGTAGATAAGTTTTATATGGTATCCCATTATACCCCGCATAAATGACATAGTGAGATTATGATACACTCTCACAAAACAATAATTTCGTCCTGTTAACTTATTCTTTTGCAGTAAAACTTAGATTTTTCTTATAGTAAAGACTCCAAAAAAAATTTTAATATATAAGCAAGTTGATTTCTTTATTTTTAATATATTTAAAACTTGAAAAAACTTAACTGTAACCATTATACCCCTGGTTCCCCTACCTGTGTTTTAATGGGTGCTTTCCACTTGACGACACAGGCGACAATGTGTTACACAGTGTTCGGTTTTGAGCGTTCCAGCAACGACACAGTGTCTCACTACTCGACACGGCGAAGAGATGAGTTTACATTGCTGTGTCACTGTGTCTCTATATTAAAATAATATTAAATAATTTTAAATAATATTTTAAATAATATTATACTGAAATTTATCAAAGTTGTTTGTTTCAATTTGTATATCTTCTTATTTGTCCATGAATAGTGATTAGACATACGGAATTCGGACAGAATGTTTGTTAAGTTGACTGGAGAACCACCTATTGGGGCTTTATCGAAACACATGTGTTCCAAGGAGCACCCTGACACTGTGTGACACTGTGTCACAATTTACGTCGTAGGTGGAAAGCACCCTATATCATGTTATAAACAACACAATAGATTAATGTTTGAACAATAATGAGGACACGTACTATCGCGCGGTTTAGATCACATATGTTATTATAAGTTAGTAACAGTTGGCCCTTCACACTGTATGCATAAAATTTTAATTGTTTTAGAAATTCCAGGTCCAGTCATCCTTGAATAACTTTTCCAAACAAAATTTTATCCCATAAAAAATACATTTTGGTGATTTTACCTTATTTTGAACCCAATTTTGCAGCTCACTTCACTTTCAAGGGTGAAATGCTACGCTTCTTATATTCTCTTCCAGGTGATTCTTAATTACGAGTAAATGTTCTCCGCTGCGTCCATCTGTCGACGGAGTTATGTACTGCTCGCTCGCTTGCGAGTTTCGTATACAGGGTGAATCAGAAAAAACGTTTGTCCTTAAAATGACGTATTCCTGAGATGATTTTAAAACATTTTTTCCTTTGTCAAAATTTTATCCGAAGCATAGATTTTGAATTATAAATAAAATAGTTAGCGAATTACGGGTCGCGTACGGAAGGCAGGCAGGGGCGGCGCAACTCATCGGTCAACGCGGGCGCCGGATTGCGATCAGCTGCTCGCTACGTACGAAACGCGTGTTACGATAATACGCGCGTATCTTCTCCTCTCTCTCTCTCTCTCTCTC